CGTAAGAGAATAAGTACAAAGAAACAGTCTAGCCAAAGTAGCTCACTGATTATAAATGCAAAGCAGGACTGTCGAAAGACCATCGACACTTATCTGTGTTTACGTATGCTTGATCAATGTAACATTTAAATGTTAGGCCATGAAAAGTTGTAACCTTGATAGCTTTTACTAATACACATTTTGTTAAACATTACTTTCAGCATTTGTTTGCTTTGATTTATTTTGGTAAAAGAATGCAATAAGTGAAGAGTAAACAAAGACTAATAATCTGGATGCAGTGTCATTTTGAAAAAGGAAGCTTTTGTTTGGTGGAACAATGCAGAAAAAAGCAGGCTGACTGCATTGAATAACAAAAGCTAAACACATTCAAGACATGTACTTTTTACTACACTTTTTATTGTGCATAACACAAAAAACATGCAAAGGTTTGGTGTGTACACTGGCCAAGCACTTCTGACCTGTACTGTAAATATGGCATGACAAAATAGAATAATTTTTTATGTGGTTATTTGCTTGGCCAAAAATAAGAAATAACATTGAAAGTTTTTGGAATAAAAATGCTAACTAAAACATACTTGTGTTTCCTTGCTTGGAAAATATAAGTGGTAAGCTATCAAATGGTTACTGATGAAATAGATCTTTCAGAAATGTGACCGGGCACAGGATTTTGTACACTAATGCTTTTCCGTTAAACGGGTAAAAATAAACGGTTTGTAAACGGATAGTAAACGGGTAGTAAGAGCGTTGAAACGGTTTGCATGTCCGTTTAAACGAATAGTCCAAAGCGTTAAACGGTAGAGCAAAGTCCAAAAACGGATTCCTTAAACCGTTAAACGGCCGAGAAAAAAAATAAACGGATGGCTTAAAACGTTAAACGGTTGAACAGCGTCTATAATAATTTTATGGATAGCTCAAAACGTTAAACGGATGGACAAAACCTTGAACGAATGAGGAGGGCTAAAGAACGGCGGGAAGCCATGCACATATCGATCAGAAACCATTGCGAACAATTATACGAACTGTTCATGCGGAACACTGACGTTTCATGCTAATAATATTCGACCGACAACGATAGAAAACTAAGTAAAATTAAATTACTAGCCTGTAATTAAGCTATCCACTGGCGAGTGAAGCGAGCCGAGAGCGAGTCTCGCCCTGGAGAGCTCGCAATGCGTTTGAAGCAATCTGTCAATCATACCATGTGGACTGAACATTCTCGATAGAAAGAAAATAGAATTGAGAAGCAAACTCATTTTTTCCCATGTTCCTACATTGTTTCTACGTATTGACTGAAATGAAAACGCACTCTCAAGTGAAAAACGTTAAGAAATGCCGCTGATTTTGTAGATTTCACCGTCGGTTAATCGAAACAATTTTGCATGTGCATGTAACAAAACTCAACTTTCTTTCGCTCGTGTTTCATCTAGCATTCGATTTCGTAAAGTAATGTGTAATTACAGCTTTTATAAAGCAATTTCTGTTTCCTTTATTAGCTACCTTTAT